AAGTTTGTGTACTCAGACCAGTAATATTTGGGGTCACAAGTTTTTGCCATGAACATTTTATGGGTCAGAAGATAAAAAGATTGGRAACCAATGCGCTAAATCATGCATATAAAATGTGACGTTTGCTCGTTATTAGATTTGTGTCAGTAGGTAAGCTAGAAGCAGGCCTTGGGCCCCTCAGAAAAGGCTGAATCAATAACAGGTAAAAGTACTGATTGTTTATGACCGGATCTTATTAAATAAATTGGGTCAGAAGGGGTCAGGCCACGGCTAGCTTTACAAAGAAACTCTACTTTTTCTTTTTTTTTCTCCATATTTGTAATAATCTACTTAGAACCTCTATTTCAGTGCAAGATGAAAGCTGAAAATGTAACTTTATTTATTATTATCAGACGTGATTGTTACTTAAATTAACGCAAGAAAAATATTACAACTTTCAGGCATGCAATTTCCAGCATGAAGAAAACTAAATGCTTTGGCTGCTACCATTCAAAAATCCACTGACCTCAAATAAAAGAGCATATTCTAAAAATGAAAAAAGCCTTCATCTGCAGTTATAGATGGGGCTAATCATGTCATCAGATGTTTTTTTTCTTGACATGGGAAGTGAACAACAAAGTCAAGGCAACCCAGCAACCAAAGAGTTTGAATCTGTACACTTTTCTGTTTTTAGTACAAAATGTGTTGCTGCACAGAATACAGGCTGTCCTTATCGTGCCAGTTTTGCAGYGTGTTGAGTGTTTCTGAAGCCTAATCTGAACAAATACAACTGAAAATAACAGACCCTTTTTTTTCAATGAACATGAACATTTTCCTTTGATTTTCATTTTCCTTTCTTTTGATTTAGTGCAGTATGTAGACATAGGTGCTCCCATTTCCAAGAAACGTGCGTAATTGCTTCTATCTTCACTACATTTTGGGATWTTTCTCTTCCACTGGTCCTATCAGCAACGATGCAGTTGCTATGGCAACTCGTGTGTCTCGGTTTGGATCTCACGAAGCATCCCAATAAACCATGCAAATTGTGAAAAGCGAAATCCTTAATTGATATTACTCATTTTGCAAAAATCTTTTGCAGTTTTTTTTAACTTAAGTCAGAATCTCTGCTCATGTTTTATGAGGAAAAGTGACTAAAAGAGACAATAGTTATACCTGTGGAGAAGATGAAAAAAATTAAAACAGAGTCAACAGTGTGCATTGATTCAGACGCTCATATTTTAACATGAAATGTAGTAAACTCAGACGGCTGAGGAGGTCAGTAACACCGACAGGGGAGTTATTCCAGGTCTGTGGATCGTTAGCTGCTAATTACAAAGGTGAGTGCACGTTTCAGAGCGTTTTCTACTGAATATGAAACAACTCAGGTGTCCGAACATAATGTGGTTAAATGAGTCAAACTGTACATGTGAGGCAACAGAACAAGTCTAAATTGTGGAGTGAGCAAAGACGTGTTCTGGTTCCATCCTGCTGTRGGAGCAGAGTTTGATCCACATGGAGGACAGTCTTTTTGTTCTGGATGATCACTTTTGAAAGCTGACCTTGATGGTAATTGTGTCTTTCAATGTGACTCCATCTAAAAAAGCCCATAGATTAGTTAAAGGSATAGTTCAGATTATAAGGACTGGGGATCCTTGGAAAGCTTCTGAATGTTGAATATCTTACTTGTTGTAGATTGTTCTTTGATCAATCTCAGTTTGGACTGATGGCCATGTAAAGATTTAAAAAGTGGGTAATACTTTTTTTTATTTGAATTGTTCAAAGACAGCAGCAAACAGCTTTAGTCTTGATCCTGCTCAACCATTTAGTGAGAATAAAAACTTTTTTTTCCAAACCGAGGTTGTATAAAAAATATCAACAGGTAAGATACTGATTGTCCACAATCTTTCTACTAAAACTTCAAACGATGTGCAATATTGTTTAATTTAAACGGTATAAAAATGAGGTAATATGTATGTTTTGGCATTCACAGTCAATTGTTTTTAGATTTCCCTCCAGCCTATCAAATTAGCTCATATTTACATCTCTAAAAGCCAGCCATTTGAAAATGTTTTTATACAAAAACAAACAGTTTGGTGCTTATGTTTTTTTTCTCGGATAACTAGAAGTGTTTCTGCACATATTTTCGACTTTATGTTCCTAAAGATAAAAGTTTAGGATTGTTTTCCTTCCACACAAGGCTGGGCTCAGCTGTGATATTTGACTTTTTCCCATTCAAGTAAACATATTGTATGAATGATAAGATTCATTTGGGGGGTTTTCCTCTCTATTTTCATCTCATCTCTATTTCTCAGTCAGCTGGTAGGCAAACAGCAAGTGACAGAATATTTGAACTACAGTGTGAAGTCCATTATCATCCTGATTCATGCTGGAAACCCACTGTCAGATCAAATCTGTGTCACCCGGGGCCACCCAGTGAGCCGCAGCWCATGTCATCACCCTGACACATCAGCTTAGAGCTGATAGGAAACAGTGTTTGTCAGTTTCCTTGATCTGATTTACAAGAACAAAAAATGTTTGTGTGTTTTATGTTATTATACAACTGCTCAGAAAATTATTTACATTAATGTAAATAAATGTCTTATTATTTTAGGTTTTTAATGGTTTAAAAAAGTATTACATAACCATTTTATGAGGGGTGGGGGGATAATAGTGCAACATACAACTTCAATGACTTTTGAAAACAATAACTGGGTGCACACATAGACAAAATATGTTCAACTATGTGCAATATTTTGTTAAATGTCCAATAGCAAGTTGCATGTAGATCACAGATATTTTGTATAATTTTAAAAGTCCTCTTAGTAGAACATGGAGTTTTTCTGAGTGGTTGATTTCCTGGTAAAATTCTGTCTTTTAGTTCACAATTATTCAACAATGTTACTTTTAACCCCTGCTGGTAACATGATCTGTTGCACAAACAAACAAACAAAAGCACTAAGTGAAAGATCAAGCCAATGTTTATCATTTAACACCAGATTCGTGACATTTTATTCTTACATAGTGAAGTAATTTACATGAAGGTCTGATGAAAACTGTCATCTTCTGTTGGGGTTGTGACCTTTTGACCTCCTGATGACATCATCATGTGCATAATTGTTTAATAAATTAAACAATTATTACTAATGAATTAATTACTAGTAACGCTGCTTTTTACAACACACCTCAGGAGGACAGGGACAGGAGTGATCCTAGCTTTGGGACTGTTTGAACATATGTATCATTTTAGAGACGGGGTTTTTTAATGGCTTCTCAGGTGGTTCTGTAGTTTGTTGTATTTTGAATGGATTGTCTTTACTTCTAATTAATATGGATTTTGATAAATGTATGTATGAAATGTGTTTAATCTTTAAAGTATTACAAAAAAGGAAAGGCTAATTTATAAGCTTAACATGAGAAGTAATGCAGTTTCTTTTGCAGAAAGAATTTATACCGGTCAATCCGGTGAGTGCTGCCAAAGATAAATTACCAGCTGCAGTCAATCATGATCACTATCATGATTTAATGGTCCCTGGCACTGTAGACCCTTCAGAACCTCTCAACAAAAGGTTCAGGCGACTATATCTGGGCCCTGTGTGAATTAAACAAATTCCACAACAAATTCAAACATTTGGTTGGTTGTGTATTCATCCACCATAAAAGAAAACACRTGATTCAAATAAATGATTCAAATAGATGATTAAAAACCCAGAATTTATATGACATTCATGCTCATGAGTATATGTAAACTTAAAAGAAGAGCCTCCATTTTTTTCCCAGTTTTGAAGATTACATAATTTGCTTAATTCCTTACAGATTACAGGAGAGATATATATGGTGCACAGTCAATTTTATTGATATACAAGCCAGTAAATATCCTTTWTTTAATGAATGGCATTCAAATAAAAAGCTCTTCACTACAGTATATCCGGAGTGCGATTGCCTTTAGCTGCTCAGTTACTATGAAGGTTCCGTAGAGCCGTCCTTCAGTGTCGATCACTTCCACAAACACACAAAGTGAAGGAAAACAGTCCACAGTGGAAGCTGAGTAAGTTTACATAAAGATATAATTTTATTAACATAACCCGTCACTCATTACAATAAATATTTTTCTTCGACTAAATCTACAAAACATATTCTCAAACTCTGAAATCCTAGCTAATACTGGAGGAGGTATAAATAAATAAATAAATATATAAATAAATCCGTGGTCACACAGAATTATGTGGTGCACAATCAGAGTATGTGGGCTCACTGATACGTCTCCTGACACGTTTATTCAAGAAAGTTGCTACAAAATCAAAGGCAAATTTAAAACATGTGTCGGGAAAAAATAAAATAAAATGAAAAATACTCACAGCTTTACGCGACATCAGCTATTTGTGATTTTTTTCCCGTAGACTTTGCTTAGAGCTAAAGAAAAAGGTAAACGACACTGAGAAATACCTTTGGATGTCTGGTAGAAAAGCTCAAAGCGTGCATTCAGCTGTGATAGACCACTCAACAGGAGGAGATGCGTGAAAAAATAGAAGAGCACGGCACTTCATCCCACCAAATCTTTGATATCTAAGGCCTCGGGTATTTCGTAAAAAATGGAGTCTCATCTCAATTCCCGAATTTTCCAGATTTTCATCGTGCCTGAGACGTGTAAGCAGCTGCTTTTGTTGGATGTGCTTTGCCTGAAAAAAGTTCAGAACGTGGATTTTGAAAGGACAGGAAGTGCCGGGACAATAGTACACTATAAAACAGTCTGAACACTCTTGATAAGAAATTTTGCATCACAAAAAGTCTGAGGTGTATCCTATACATCACAAAATATCTATGGAATGTTACTTTGTCTCCTTGGCTGCACTAACGCCAAGGCGGATTGAGTCGTTTTGGTCCGTCTGCTCCGGTGCGTTACTAAAGTTGGCTGTTAAAACAGTTTTAATTACTCTTCGGAAAATATCAGGCTGCAATACAGGAGCAAATAAAGCATCTGTGTTTCAAAAATCTTCACATTGTCAGAACATGAGCTTTAACGTATGATGCACGAGCGTTCTGTGTTATCCCTGAAAGAACACCACCATTGTCACCGCGATGCCTCTCCATGCGCAGCTTCCGAGCACTTCTCAGTTGGAGAAATGCAAGGCTTTAACGGGTAGCGTCATCAGTTTTGGTGGATGTCTTCGTGTCGAATGATCTTGTAGGTAACCCAGTAGAAGACGTTGAAGATGAGAAAAGCCAGGGGGAAGGCAGCCCTGGAGATCGTGTCTATCCGCTTGGCTCTGTCCACAAACTTTTTCCTCATGGCGTCGATGTCCTTCGGGGTCGTCGTTTGGGGGTTCGGAGCAGGAACCGCGTTCTTAACGGCCGAGCCGTCCTTCGCCGGCACACACTGACTCATGTTGTACCCGGCAAAGTTAAAGCGACCTTCGCGCATGTCTTCGTCCTGAAAGACAAGGGAACGGCAGGTTTTATTACCGCAGCAGCTCAGAAGTCATGGCCTGAGGCAACGAGTTTTCTGCAGCACAAACATGAACAATAATCAAATAGCACAAACACTTTGGATTTAATTAAAATTCACAGGATAACAAGATGCACTTTTAATGAAAAAGTGCAACACGACTGCTTCAGGTGATGAATCTTAATTTCAGCCAAACAATAAAAGTAATACATTTATTCAATAAACCAAGAAATTTAAAAAGCAGAGCGGAAACTCAAAGACAATAAAATACCCTTTCCTTTATTTTAAAGTCACTTTGGCTTTATTTTTTCCCAGCATGTTTTCTGTCTGCCTTTTTAGGTTTTAAAATCTGTTCAATTAAAGGTGACAGCCATACCTATGTATAACTATATACAGTTAATTTTCCAAATATTGAGGTTAAAGTTGTGGTAGTAGCTGAGAGTTATCCCCCAAATATACTTAAAAACAGTGCCATACCTGGTCCACATCTCATTGAAACCACTTGCCAAGTCAACAGTGTCAGCTTGGCACCAGATTTGACCCACTCCTGTCTGCTTTGTGGACATATTGTGCATCACCCCCAATTGATTAGATTTTGCAATATTTTGTCACATTTAATACTTTTACAACCACAGAGCACTGATGTTTTTTTTTCCACCAGGTACAGTTTTTTATGACAAAATCAAATGGTTGTTGGAGAGTGGTACGTCCTATAAGTGCTTCGACTCTTGTTTTGCACTCAACATGCACCTTAAATGTTTTTCTGTACAAGAATACCTTCCATTAATACTGCATAATTTGTAAACACTGTGGACGTTTAGTTTGGGTGGGCTGAAGGATCAAGGACAGGGGTCAGCAACCTGCGGCTCTAGGGCCACATGAGGCTCTTTGGGCCCTCTGCTGTGGCTCTTTGAAAATGTGGCCAAACATCACAAAATAAACTTTTCTATTTGTTTTTTTATACCCACAACAGAAATAAATTTGTATGCAATATGCTCAATACTACTTATATAAAAAGTAAAACCTGTAGATTAGTTCATGCTAGCCTGTTTTTACTTAAAAAATCCAACTTATTGCTATGATCTTTCTCTCAAATCCATCAGAATTACCTTTTAAAATTTTTGAAGGCTGTATAATAATAAGAATTAGAAAACAGCTTAGTTGTACTAGTTTTTATGAAATTCAATATAAACTATATAAAGTAATTTTTTTGTTTACATGAAAATAGTCTCTTCATTTGTCGTAATGTGTAAAAATAATAATAAATATTAAAATTCACAGTACATTTTCTAGTTTTATAATGTCACCTCCAATAGCCGTAAAGTTTCCCGAAAAGGCCTCAAAAAGGCCCGCGGACCACCAGTTGTTAATCACAGTCGTAGCTTGTTTTGCGGCTCTGGACACATTTTATCAGTGAGCCAAGGAGCAGGAATGGTTCCTTTGATCGTAAAGGTTGCAGACCCCTGATCTAGGAGGTCTCTTGGTAATAGTGTTGTAGTCAAGACCACCTAACCCGAGACCAAGTCAAGGCCAAGACCACAGTGTCTCAAGACCGAGACAAGAACAAGACTTTTAGGGTTTGGACCAAGTCGAGACCAAGACCAAGGGAGGTCGAGACCGAGACAAGACCAAGACCAGAAAAAAATGTGTCCTAAAAGATGGAGTATTGTGTACACATGTACAGTGGGGGAAAAAGGTATTTTGTCTCTCATAGTTGAGGTCTAACTATGATGTCAATCACAGGCCTCTCTCATCTATTTAAGTGGGAGAACTTGAACAATTGGTGCTGACTAAATACTTCCCCCCCACTTTAGCTAACTTAATATGTAGAGCTAATATTGACAAACTCTTTGTGTGAGGGCAGAGGAAAGAATTTTGCTACAGAGGCAGATTGTTGACGTTAGTGATGGTAAAAGTTTGACGTTGTCCCCACTGTCTCTGAAAGTAAAGCACTGCTGGATTTATAAGTTGCTGTACGCTTTCTCCTGGTTGTTGTTATTAATGACATTATTTATGAATAATGTAGCCAAATTTTTTACTTAAGATTTGAAGACATCTTTTACCGTTCCCAGAGAACCACGRTTCATCTTCTGGGAGTGCTGCATGCAAGTGATGGGGGGTGTGGATGGGTAACAGCCGGTAACAAAAATACATAAATATCAATAAGTCAGGTTTGGATTTGAATCAGTAGCTACATTTTAAATCCAACGAAAGCAAGAATGTTAACAAATTAATTGGACAATAATCTGGCTGTTTAGTGGTATTTCCACAGTTGTGGTCTTGACTGGTCTTGAAATAAAATTCTGAGTCCTCAATGTCCGAGACCGAGACAAGACCAAGACCGGTTTCAAGTACTACAACACTACTTGGTGGTTGTATACCAGTTGCAAACCTGTATAGGTTTCAAGTTTTTTTGTGTTTTGGGTGTCTAAAAAGGTGCAAATTGTTCATGTGTTCATCCTTGTGTCTGACAGTCATCATCATTTCTGACATGTTTGTTTGGTTTCATTGACCCCAGAACCTCTCAAAAGTCTGACACCCAAACAATAACCTTGTAAGGACTTTGAAAAGCTACCTTGTTTCTTCTTTGTCTTCTCCTCAGGCGGAGAAACTCTTTCTGTTGCCTGGAGACAAAGTTTACCCCGGCATATTCCAGCAACGCAGCAAATACGAAGAGCAGACACACAGCCATCCAGATATCAATGGCTTTCACGTACGACACCTGGAAGACAAGACGTTTTTTTTCTTTGTTAGATTGCTTCAAGGTGACAACACAAGCTTACAGCTCAAACTGCAATGTGGGCTTTGGATTCAGCCTAAGATTTAGTAATTTTTTTTATTAAACTGGTTTCCCAATTAAGCCCATCCTCCTCAGTGAACTGGGACATCTAAATTATAAGTGTTGATGGTGTTTGCTAACAAGTGTTTCTGAGCTGCTTGTAATGTCAGCGACAGCTTGGAATTAAGCAGCAGGAGATAACTGCCTTTAATTCTAAACAAAGAAGGAGATCTCTGGTTTTAGTCAGTAACTTCTGCTCTGATTCAAATCTGTAACTTTGTGAAAAGTTGGGCCTGAAGTTTGAAGCTCGTCCCTCTCATCATCACCGTGACCTCGTCTCTTTGTGACAGCTGATTAGCATGTGAAGAAAACAGCTTGGTTATATTTGAACACACTTACGGCAGATTGATGTATTGTTTTCATGAGCCAAAGCTCTCAAAGGCTTTTCTTGAAATATTTATCAGCATGTGTGTCTTTCATGTCTATTATGGCGTCGCTGAAGCCTTTGAAACTGATGAGAGTGACTGGCTGATCATTGAGATTGAACGCTGAGTGCTGCAGTACTCGTCACGCTGAGAGCATTAGTTGTTTTCCATAACTGACAATAAGCTTCTGCAGTCGAGCTGTTTGTCATGTACACATGCTTTAGATTATTGCATTTTCTCTGCTGATAAAAAAATGCAAAACTTTTATTGACATCATTATGAAAATAATATTATGGATTTGATTTGAAGAATAAAAAATCTTGGGTTACATGTTTGTGTGCTGTTAATTAAATTATCAGCATCTTTATTTTTTTTAGGAGCTGAAGACAAAGAAAACAAAACCCTTTTCAAGCTGCCTAACGATGAATTTGTATCTGCATCGGAAGTGACATCAAATTTCTCAGCTGATGCAGCTCAGCCATACTTGTGATGAGAGTTTCAGTCCCATTTTCAGCTGGTGATGCTAAATGACAAAGTGAGATTTACCTTTGGAAGAGAAGCTCTGGAGCCAGAGCTCTGTGTGGTCATGGTAAGCACAGTGGTGATGCCCAGCGCCACTCTGGCWGGAGCAGCATCCATATTTATCCAAAATGACACCCATGAGAGGATGACGATGAGGAGTGACGGAATGTACATCTGGATCAGGTAGTAGCCCATCTGACGTTCCAGGTGGAATTTCACTTCAATACAAGTGAATTTACCTGTTAAACAGCCAAGAAACACGATCAAAGCAAGACAGGCTTTAACCTGGGAGGAAAATAAGGTCATTTCATGAATGCTAAAGGACAGCTAAAATATTCCGACGGTGCTGAAACTAAGTAATTTAAGCTGAAAGAAGAAGCAYGTCAGATAAAAGTTAAAAAAGCCGACCACAAACTAAAAAGCCAAAAGTCGCTAAATGGTAGCTAAAAGAAGGAAAAACCTAACTACAAGAACTTCAAGTAGCAAAAGTTGACCTAAAACTAGTAAAAAGGCCAGCTAAAATTAAAAGTGGTAAAAAGGTAGCTAAAAGCTAAACGTAGCAAAATGCCAGGGTCATCAAATGGCTAGTTAGAAGCTAAAAGTAACAAAAAGCTAGGTTAAAATTAGCCAAAAAATACAATAAAAGCAGCAAAAGGCAAGCTAAAGTTAAAAGTTACTTGATGGTAGCAAAAAGCTAAATTTATCAAAACGGTAGCTGAAAGT